TTTTATATACAAATTATATATTTGCACAACTTATATTTTGTTTTCGAAGCTCTACTGAAATGAAAGTCGGTAAATTTAATTAAAAATCTCAAGGTCATAAGAATATACAATAATATTAGGGCCTAATATAAAAAGAGCTTCCATTTGATGTCTGGTTTTTTAAATCTGAGTCTAAATTTCAAAATAAATATTATGAGCATGACATATTTTTTATGCAAAATAAGAAACAAGCACATTTGGTAAGAAGCTTTGAATATTTTATTTATTAGTTTTAAAAAGATATCAGTTAAAAACAAAGAAATAACTAATTGTTAAAAAGAGAAAACAAGAATAATGTTGATAGTACTATAACTATTTTCTTCCGTTGCCTAGAGCTACCATTCAAGAGGGATAAGTAGTCCTGTCAATTACAAACGTACGATGTACATATTACAGCAATTAATTTTTGAATTTTTCGCAAGCGAAAATATGCTAAATATAATTAATATGAGATAGTTTTGTTGCACTAAAAAAATTAAAAAAAAAAAAATTGTATACAAAAAAATGTGTAGCAAAGTAAAATGAGTCAACAAAAAGCATTTTGATAGGCTTTTACGTCAATAAAAATGTCTAATACAATTATAATTTTTGTTTACTGCGATAGACTTTTTTTCTTGGTGCACCTTTTAAGTTTTGAGTATTTTTTGCAAACAGAAACCTTTGTTTATTTGCGTGGAAATCGTGTTTGCGGTAGTTAATTATATTTTACAGCTAATGGCGAAATGTCAAAATAATTAAAATGCCCACCGCAGCTCACAGGAAGAGCTGTCCGACGAGATACTCGTATGTAAATGTTGGCGTGGCACGTATTCGGGGCATAATGGCCGATCGGTTGTCAACTGTCGTCACCGATTAAAGTGCAAAGCCGCTTAATAATAAATTAAATTTAAATAAATACTGTTAGTCACACCACAAACAGCATTTGAATGCCAGCATATATTCCGTTTAAAGGTAGAATTTTTCGTTTGAAGCAAAAGCAAGCACAGGCGACCTTTAGAAACAATAATTTAAGTTGTAGTTGCTAAAGCATTTCAAAGCCAAAATTAAATGAAGCAATTAAGTCATGACATCCAGATCCGGTGTGAGAAATTTATTATTAATAGCCAAACACTTCATAGAGCTCGGTGCGTATTTAAAATGTTTTGTAATTAGCCGGCTGGAATAATGCAGCCACGGCAGCCAAAGCATAAAAGCCAAAGCGATAAAAATTGATAATTACACGGCATGAACGGGAAAGCGTGATTATAAATTTAAATCTAATTAAATTAGCAGTCAGGCAGACAATTGACAAACCGAATGAATAGATGGCGGGGGTGGGATGGGAGGTGGGGCTCATATGTGAATGCTTAGGGTAAAGGTCAACACATCACGCGTCAATAACGTCGAATAAAGAATTGAATTATTCAATGAATCTGCTTTGGCTGACAGGCTTTCTGCGGAGAGACATTTAATTGCACTTCACGGTTCAAGGATAATGCATCAAACCACCGATTATATAGGGAGTTTGTTTCAAGCCACCAATATACTTGTCTAATTTCCGACAAAGCTCATTACCAATGCTCTCCATCTTGCGTTTTAGGTACATACATATGTATTCCCAAATATATGTACATATCTATGCACATTTGTTTTTGCACTTATGTGAGTCTCATTAGCATAGTGATATTGATTTTCCGGCTAACCGTCAATCAACAAAACGTTGGACACACAAACCAAAGATATTGCTATGCAATTGAGGCTCCAAACCGCAGCACGCCATGCTCGGATGCCTTAAAGCGCCTGCCTGGCATGCAACAATTTATGTTGCATGCTACATCCCACTCATCCACCCACCCACACCCACACACGCATCGCAACAATAGTGTGGGTTTTCGGGATGTTTTGGATGCATCTAACAGAGGGCCTTGATAAACAATTACGGCAGCCCTTTAGGCATCCAAGAGAATTAATATCATGACAGGAACAATTAATTCGCCAATTTAAAAATAAAATAGAACTTATTCAAGAAATCAGTTTAGTAACCAATAAAAAATTCTTTTAAAGTCTATATATGTACTTACCATAGAGTTGTCATATATAAATAAATGATCTTTAAGATGTTACACAATTGTCAATAATTTTTATCACCATTTACCACCTATTGTTTAGCAAAATTGTTTAGAAAAAGTCTAAAAAATAAGTGTAACCTCCTAGCTGGTCTAACTAAGCAACCAGACTAAAATTTTCCCTTGAAATGGGAGCTGAAATATTTCTTAAAAGGGTCAAATATATTGACCCTAAAGCTGCGTCAAAAACCTTATATAAAGAGTTGTTTAACACATTTATTTTTTTGGTTTTTAAAAGCTTAATTAAAAAACAAAGAATTAAGTTTAAACACTTTGACAATCATACTTCCAAATATTGACAAAATCAAGATACTTAACAGTATCTTGGTCAAGGTATCTATCTTAGTAACATAGGGATCCCTTCTAAATGGGGGTTTCCCCTATTTTTTAGATTATTTAAATATTTTTTTGATTTTTTGTCCATTTTTCGTGATGGGACCCTTTGAAAATGGCGTTTTCCCATATAGGGCCCACAGTGATGGCTATATCTTCTCCAATTCTCATCCGATTCTCAAGCGGAGTACCTTTAACGATTTTTTGGATCGATTCTCCACCATTATGCATATAAATCCCGAGACAAAATATTTTTTAGATTTTTTGTCCATTTTTCGTGATGGGATCCCTTGAAAATGGGGTTTTCCCATATAGGGCCCACAGTATGGCTATATCTTCTTCAATTCTCATCCGATTCTCAAGCGGAGTACCTTAAACGATTTCTGGATCGATTCTCCACCATTATGCATCAAAATCCCGAAACAAAATATTTTTTAGATTTTTTGTCCATTTTTCGTGATGGGATCCCTTGAAAATGAGGTTTTCCCATATAGGGCCCACAGTGATGGCTATATCTTCTCCAATTCTCATCCGATTCTCAAGCGGAGTACCTTTAACGATTTCTGGATCGATTCTCCACCATTATGCATATAAATCCCGAGACAAAATATTTTTTAGATTTTTTGTCCATTTTTCGTGATGGGATCCCTTGAAAATGGGGTTTTCCCATATAGGGCCCACAGTATGGCTATATCTTCTTCAATTCTCATCCGATTCTCAAGCGGAGTACCTTAAACGATTTCTGGATCGATTCTCCACCATTATGCATCAAAATCCCGAGACCAAATATTTTTTAGATTTTTTGTCCATTTTTCGTGATGGGATCCCTTGAAAATGGGGTTTTCCCATATAGGGCCCACAGTGATGGCTATATCTTCTCCAATTCTCATCCGATCCTCAAGCGAAGTACCTTGAACGATTTCTACATCGATTCTCCACCATTCTGCATCAAAATCCCGAGACAAAATATTTTTTAGATTTTTTGTCCATTTTTCGTGATGGGACCCTTTGAAAATGGCGTTTTCCCCTATATGGCGCACAGTAAAGGCTAGATCTTCCCCAATTCTCATCCGATCCTCAAGCGGAGTACCTTAAACGATTTCTGGATCGATTCTTCACCATTATGCATATAAATCCCAAGACAAAATATTTTTTAGATTTTTTGTCCATTTTTCGGGATGGGATACCCTGAAAATGGGGTTTTCTCCTATATAGCCAACAGTGATGGCTATATCTTCTCCAATTCTCATCCGATCCTCAAGCGAAGTACCTTAAACGATTTCTACATCGATTCTCCACCATTCTGCATCAAAATCCCGAGACAAAATATTTTTTAGATTTTTTGTCCATTTTTCGTGATGGGATCCCTTGAAAATGGGGTTTTCCCATATAGGGCCCACAGTGATGGCTATATCTTCTCCAATTCTCATCCGATCCTCAAGCGGAGTACCTTAAACGATTTCTACATCGATTCTCCACCATTCTGCATCAAAATCCCGAGACAAAATATTTTTTAGATTTTTTGTCCATTTTTCGTGATGGGATACCTTGAAAATGGGGTTTTCCTCTATATAGCCAACAGTGATGGCTATATCTTCTCCAATTCTCATCCGATACTCAAGCGGAGTACCTTAAACGATTTCTACATCGATTCTCCACCATTCTGCATCAAAATCCCGAGACAAAATATTTTTTATTTTATTTCTCCAATATTTTATTTCTCCAATTCTCATCCGATCCTCAAGCGGAGTACCTTAAACGATTTCTACATCGATTCTCCACCATTATGCATATAAATCCCAAGACAAAATATTTTTTAGATTTTTTGTCCATTTTTCGTGATGGGATACCCTGAAAATGGGGTTTTCTCCTATATAGCCAACAGTGATGGCTATATCTTCTCCAATTCTCATCCGATGCTCAAGCGGAGTACCTTAAACGATTTCTACATCGATTCTCCACCATTCTGCATCAAAATCCCGAGACAAAATATTTTTTAGATTTTTTGTCCATTTTTCGTGATGGGATACCTTGAACGATTTCTACATCGATTCTGCACCATTCTGCATCAAAATCCCGAGACAAAATATTTGTTAGATTTTTTGTCCATTTTTCGTGATGGGATCCCTTGAAAATGGGGTTTTCCCCTATATGGCGCACAGTGAAGGCTAGATCTTCCCCAATTCTCATCCGATTCTCAAGCGGAGTACCTTAAACGATTTCTACATCGATTCTCCACCATTCTGCATCAAAATCCCGAGACAAAATATTTTTTAGATTTTTTGTCCATTTTTCGTGATGGGATCCCTTGAAAATGGGGTTTTCCCCTATATGGCGCACAGGGATGGCTATATCTTCTCCAATCCTGATCCGATTCTTAAGCGGAGTACCTTAAACGATTTCTACATTTTCTACATACCATTCTGTTAATAATTAACGAATTAATTATGTTAATTACGAAAGTAAGGAAATATTTTACTAGAATATATTTTTCACTAGGTGCCTTTGAAAGTATTTAAGCAATGCAATAAAAGTATAAAAACTCAGTAACATGCCGTCATTGTTCAACTGTTTTATTTTAAAGTAAATATTTATTATTGTTATTGTGATGAATGTATAAATGTTTGGTGATCGTGTAACGGTTTTGCACCCCTGAAATTATCAGTAAATTAAGTGGCAACACTGCGATCAGCTGTTCCATATTCAAATTGATAAGACTGCGTGTTTTCGGGTAAGACTCAGATAGAAGCAGATTGGAAGGTCAAGTTCGCTGGGGAGGAAAACAAGAAACTGATAGACAAGATGGAGACCAAGGAACTTGAAGTCAACAAAACCCTGCCATTTGGTAATTTATACATCAAAATGTATGTAAACCCCTTATTTTATTTAATGTTTATGTTTCAGACCCCTACCTGTTCACGGTCAACATTTCGTTGCGCCAGATCGAGGAGATTGCCATGACCGTTTCCCAACGCTGCCATGTGAGCGGGGTCAACGAGGTTGCGTGGGCACTCAGAGCTCTGATGCTGACCGATCTGACCACACTGGCCGGAGATGATACCGCGGCAAATGTCCGGAGACTTTGCCTGCGTGCCTGCTATCCTTTCGAGCCGCAGTTCTTTGACAAATTCTTTGACCGCGCCCTAATCTCTGAGATGCACACCGCAGCTGTCTGCGTTTATCCGGCAAGAGTGAAGGACGCCTACCAAACCCTACTGCAATACGACAAACTGGATAAGGTTGCTATTGCAGCAGTCGCCACAGGATTCCCAACTGGTCAGTACGGCCTACAGACGCGCCTCCAGGAGATAAGCCATGCCATTCTGGCCGGAGCCACCGAGATCGACATTGTGATCAACCGGCAACTAGCTTTGGTGGGAGACTGGGAAGGAGTCTACAACGAGGTGGTGCTCATGCGTAGTGCCTGCGGCCAGCAGGCTCACCTCAAGACTATCTTGGCAATTGGTGAACTGGGCACAATGGAGAATGTATGCATATCCACCACCATGTCGACTCAAAGATTTATGTTTAAATACCATTTTGCAGGTCTATAAAGCGGCCATGGCTTGCATGTTGGCCGGAGCCGATTTCATTAAGACCTCCACAGGCAAGGAGACCGTTAATGCTACTCTCCCCGTCGGCCTGGTTATGATTTTTGCCATACAGGAGTTTAAACGCCGAACCTGCCAGATTGTGGGTCTCAAGCCAGCGGGAGGAGTGAGGACAGTTCGAGATGCCATTGCCTGGATGACGCTTGTCAATGAAACGCTTGGACCCCGCTGGTTGCAACCCGAACGATTCCGCTTTGGGGCTTCCGGACTGCTGGACGATATCGAACGCGTGGTGCGCGAGGGAGTGGCCAGAATGGAGGCCGAAGAGGCCCTCAAGAACCAGGTAGTTCCTGCCGAGGTTGCTGCTGCCGAAGGCTTCTGCAAGGAACTTAAGAAGAAGCAAAAGGAGGCAAAGTAACGAGCTCTTCTGTACCCACAACTCATTGAAATTGCATATAATTGTAGCATTTTTTAAACTGACTTAACCTAGCAAAAAATACCCTAAGAGTGACGTTTTTTGGTCAAATCCTTGGTCTGCTCCTCGCCATAAATAAACTTGTGAGGTGTGGACCCGCACATAGTCGTCTTCTTGTAGGTGTTTAGCCACTTTAGATGGAGGTTTATGCGGTGGTGTCCATCGCGGTGTTGATTTTTTTTTGCATCTTTGGCTTACCACCGAACATAAACGGAAGCCTTAAAATCTCCGTCAACCGGCACCCCAGAAGCCGGGTTGGCTAAGAGAAAACGAGTTGCCCACATAAGGAAATAAACAAGAAACTAAACTAGACAGTATATTAGACATATATCGGACGGGAAATGTGGTATATATTTGGCCGATCCTTACAGAATTTCAGTATCAGACCCATTTTTATAGACACTAGACTTTTATTGTTGCCTTCAGAACACTCATCTTTTTGAGGGAAGTGTAGTGTAAGATTCTGTGACTTTTGAAGTCCCCGGGGACTTTTCCTTAACTGGGCACAAGGTGTGTAATCCTGGGGAAATCGATGATTCTGTTGTTCTTAAAGGACTTTCCTTATCAGGACATAAGCTGTCAGGTCCTCTTCTTTCCGAGGGCCTTTCCTTAACTGGGCACAAGCTGTATGCTCCTGCGGCAATTGATGTCAGATTCAAAGTCTTTTCCCTATCGGGGAATAAACTGTGCGATCTGACAGGGACTCTCATTTCGAAGCTATTTTCCTTAACTGGGCCCAAGCTGTATGCTCCTGTGGCAATTGTTGATTCTGTCAGATTCAAAGTCTTTTCCCTATCGGGGAATAAACTGTGCGATCTGACAGGGCCTCTCATTTCGAAGCTATTTTCCTTAGCTGGGCCCAAGCTGTATGATCCTGAAGCCATCGAAGATTCTTTATTATCAGGAGGTGAACTGCACGATCCAGCAAAGCCTCTGGCAATAGGAAAATGTGTCATTTCGCAATAGTTTCCTTGAACTTCATTGAAACACTTTTCCTGAGTAGAGGAGCTGTATGATCCTTTGGACACCGATTCCTTTCCATTCTGAGCTTTTTTCGGTTTGGCATTGAATTGTGATTCACTTAGTTTCCGAGCTTGGGATGTTAAAAACTCGAAATTATTGATAGCTCGCGGGGGAAATTTCCTCGGAACTGCAGTTGAATCTGGAATGGCAGTAGCTGCGGATGAAGCAGGGGGAAGGTTCGTCAGTAGGCCTTCAGGAAGCTCCACTCTGATATTAGACATTTTTTTGTATTTTCGATAGCCGAAGAAGATACATATGAGAACGATAGAAACGACAATGGGCGCCAAAGAAAGAATTATTACAGCGCCCAAAGAGTGTAATTTCGAATGGGTCCATCTAGGTCCATTCCATTGCATCCCGCCGCTGACCTGATCCTTGTACCTGGCTGCCACTGCCATATTGGACGAGGCCATTGACGTCGGAAACGAAAATTGAAGCTGGGAAGAGTTCACTGATTCCGTTTTAATGCTTTCCTTTTCGTCACAGATCTGGTAAGTGTTGGTAGAGGCGGAACACCAGTAGACAGTATAACCTTCTAGATTATTTTCGTCGCTAGGAGGCTTCCAGCTCAAAGTGGTATCCTTGTCATTATAAAGAAGGGACCTCGGCAGTCGTGTATGGGAATTGGCAAAGATCGGCAGCTTTAGTTCTCTGAAGTTCCGCGAACGACCCTCGGAGTTTTTGCTCCATATTTTGACAGTGGCTGGTTGCGTGTCATCCCAGTCCAAAAACAGCGCAGACGTGTTGTCCAAAGTAAGACCCGGTTTACTGGAAATAAATGATCCATTAAAGCTAATGGATAAGAGGTTTATAAAATATACCTTTGTTCAGTCATAGCAGTGTATCCGAAATCGGGTCCGTTCCATTGTAGTTCATTCAGATGTTTCCAGAATATGTAAACCTGTCTACTTTCGGATTCGTAAAAATATCCATTCGGCAACAGCCTAGGCGGTGTTTTGGGAAAAGAGGCCCCAGATGTACAATTTCTAATGAGTTCCCGCGAGAAAGGTGATTCGGGGGGATTGTAAAGCCGGCACGATAATCGCATTTCATAGGACTGATATTTTAAAAGGGATTTTTGACGCCGCATACAATAGTGAAGAAATGTGAATTTATTTTTTTTATATTCCAATGAGAATGATTTAACCCAATCGATGTTGGGACTCCAAAGTTTCAGAGTACCATTGCAAATTACCTTGCGCTTCAAAAATATACATGTGCAATAATTTGGAGGATAGAGAAATAATGTCTGCATGTTCGGTACAAGGATTTGATGGATTTTTAGGGCAAACTCTTGTTTCTGAATATCGCCAAGGTATTCCATTTCCATCCTGAAATATTGATCCATAACTTGCTGGTCCATCCGAATTTGATCGCACTGCATCCTCGAAGAGTTGTGTGGCATTTCAGTGCAGTTAGCTCTAGGCGTTCCATTCGCTGATATAAAATAGGTCTCCTCCTGGAAACGCCCGTTTCCCACTCTAGTGAAGCTACACCACCCAAATATTTCTTCGGGATACAAACGACACTCAAAGTCCTGGATATTTAGAAAAGGCACAATATTGATTTTTATATTCGTCCCGCCGCAAGTAAAATTTTCCGCGGATTCTAGGTCGGCCGTTATTTTAGCCCTAATAGTAATATTATTTACGATTTTTGTATCCATTTCCCTAAAGGGTTTCACTGACACTATTGACACTTTTTTAAAATACGTATCGGAAGGATAGCATTCACAGAATATGAAGTCACCCACCCGGGCAACGTCTCCTCGCTCGGACCACACCCGGCATGTTGTATCAGCGCTCCGGCAGAACATCACAAGCCACAGAATACTTGCCCACCTACAGACCATCTTCATGATAAACAAGAATCGGTCCGTTTGCTCCAAACTGATCATAGACTATGAGCTTCAATGTTTGAGGAGTTATGTTTATATATTTGAGAGATAAGACTTATTTCAAAACGGCGCTAAGTATCTTATTGTTGAACTATTGAATTATAGATTGTGCGAGAGATGCGGGACCAGCGGGAAAGTCAGATAATTATGTGACAGTCTAGGAAGCGTCTAACGCCAGAGATGATACAAATAAATAGAAATAGGCATTACAAATTACAATACAATTCAGTTTTTATTTTAAAGAAATATATATACTGGTTGTGCCACAAATTGTGGCATGCCAGAGATATTTCACACATTAAACCATGAATACTCGTCCTCGGAGGCGAATTTGCATTGATTCTGATTGATTCATTGATCCTGCACCCCAATGTAGCATTTACCACCACCCTCTAGTCACTCAAGTCGCCTGAACTTGGTATTGCATTCGTTAACTGACTTCCGCTCTATTTGCTGCGACAAAGTAATAGTAAAATTTCATACTTCCGCAAAATCTTTGTTATCCATCCGCTTGCACGCAAGCCGGGCTCACCCGGCGGGAGAAGGGAGGCTGGTCGGCGGTGCCACGCCCACATTCTACTAGCATCGTCCCTCTCGCCCCCTCCGGCTTCTGTCGCTTGTCGCATATTTTGTGCTCGCTCAATTATACGCTAAAATGAAGCTGCTTTTCAAGTCGCGCCCGGAGGCCAAAGTCAGTCCGGCTCAGAGCTCTGATGCTGACCGATCTGACCACACTGGCCGGAGACGATACCGCGGCAAATGTCCGGAGACTTTGCCTGCGTGCCTGCTATCCTTTCGAGCCGCAGTTCTTTGACAAATTCTTTGACCGCGCCCTAATCTCTGAGATGCACACCGCAGCTGTCTGCGTTTATCCGGCAAGAGTGAAGGACGCCTACCAAACCCTACAGCAATACGACAAACTGGATAAGGTTGCTATTGCAGCAGTCGCCACAGGATTCCCTACTGGTCAGTACGGCCTACAGACGCGCCTCCAGGAGATAAGCCACGCCATTCTGGCCGGAGCCACCGAGATCGACATTGTGATCAACCGGCAACTAGCTTTGGTGGGAGACTGGGAAGGAGTCTACAACGAGGTGGTGCTCATGCGTAGTGCCTGCGGCCAGCAGGCTCACCTCAAGACTATCTTGGCAATTGGTGAACTGGGCACAATGGAGAATGTATGATAATTTCCACCACCATGTCGACTCAAAGATTCATGTTTAAATACCATTTTGCAGGTCTATAAAGCTGCCATGGCATGCATGTTGGCCGGAGCCGATTTCATTAAGACCTCCACAGGCAAGGAGACCGTTAATGCTACTCTCCCCGTCGGCCTGGTTATGATTTTTGCCATACAGGAGTTTAAACGCCGAACCTGCCAGATTGTGGGTCTCAAGCCAGCGGGAGGAGTGAGGACAGTTCGAGATGCCATTGCCTGGATGACGCTTGTCAATGAAACGCTTGGACCCCGCTGGTTGCAACCCGAACGATTCCGCTTTGGGGCTTCCGGACTGCTGGACGATATCGAACGCGTGGTGCGCGAGGGAGTGGCCAGAATGGAGGCCGAAGAGGCCCTCAAGAACCAGGTAGTTCCTGCCGAGGTTGCTGCTGCCGAAGGCTTCTGCAAGGAACTTAAGAAGAAGCAAAAGGAGGCAAAGTAACGAGCTCTTCTGTACCCACAACTCATTGAAATTGCATATAATTGTAGCATTTTTTAAACTGACTTAACCTAGCAAAAAAAACCCTAAGAGTGACGTTTTTTGGTCAAATCCTTGGTCTGCTCCTCGCCATAAATAAACTTGTGAGGTGTGGACCCGCACATAGTCGTCTTCTTGTAGGTGTTTAGCCACTTTAGATGGAGGTTTATGCGGTGGTGTCCATCGCGGTGTTGATTTTTTTTTGCATCTTTGGCTTACCACCGAACATAAACGGAAGCCTTAAAATCTCCGTCAACCGGCACCCCAGAAGCCGGGTTGGCTAAGAGAAAACGAGTTGCCCACATAAGGAAATAAACAAGAAACTAAACTAGACAGTATATTAGACATATATCGGACGGGAAATGTGGTATATATTTGGCCGATCCTTACAGAATTTCAGTATCAGACCCATTTTTATAGACACTAGACTTTTATTGTTGCCTTCAGAACACTCATCTTTTTGAGGGAAGTGTAGTGTAAGATTCTGTGACTTTTGAAGTCCCCGGGGACTTTTCCTTAACTGGGCACAAGGTGTGTAATCCTGGGGAAATCGATGATTCTGTTGTTCTTAAAGGACTTTCCTTATCAGGACATAAGCTGTCAGGTCCTCTTCTTTCCGAGGGCCTTTCCTTAACTGGGCACAAGCTGTATGCTCCTGCGGCAATTGATGATTCTGTCAGATTCAAAGTCTTTTCCCTATCGGGGAATAAACTGTGCGATCTGACAGGGCCTCTCATTTCGAAGCTATTTTCCTTAACTGGGCCCAAGCTGTATGCTCCTGGGGCAATTGTTGATTCTGTCAGATTCAAAGTCTTTTCCCTATCGGGGAATAAACTGTGCGATCTGACAGGGCCTCTCATTTCGAAGCTATTTTCCTTAGCTGGGCCCAAGCTGTATGATCCTGAAGCCATCGAAGATTCTTCATTATCAGGAGGTGAACTGCACGATCCAGCAAAGCCTCTGGCAATAGGAAAATGTGTCGTTTCGCAATAGTTTCCTTGAACTTCATTGAAACACTTTTCCTGAGTAGAGGAGCTGTATGATCCTTTGGACACCGATTCCTTTCCATTCTGAGCTTTTTTCGGTTTGGCATTGAATTGTGATTCACTTAGTTTCCGAGCTTGGGATGTTAAAAACTCGAAATTATTGATAGCTCGCGGGGGAAATTTCCTCGGAACTGCAGTTGAATCTGGAATGGCAGTAGCTGCGGATGAAGCAGGGGGAAGGTTCGTCAGTAGGCCTTCAGGAAGCTCCACTCTGATATTAGACATTTTTTTGTATTTTCGATAGCCGAAGAAGATACATATGAGAACGATAGAAACGACAATGGGCGCCAAAGAAAGAATTATTACAGCGCCCAAAGAGTGTAATTTCGAATGGGTCCATCTAGGTCCATTCCATTGCATCCCGCCGCTGACCTGATCCTTGTACCTGGCTGCCACTGCCATATTGGACGAGGCCATTGACGTCGGAAACGAAAATTGAAGCTGGGAAGAGTTCACTGATTCCGTTTTAATGCTTTCCTTTTCGTCACAGATCTGGTAAGTGTTGGTAGAGGCGGAACACCAGTAGACAGTATAACCTTCTAGATTATTTTCGTCGCTAGGAGGCTTCCAGCTCAAAGTGGTATCCTTGTCATTATAAAGAAGGGACCTCGGCAGTCGTGTATGGGAACTGGCAAAGATCGGCAGCTTTAGTTCTGTGAAGTTCTGCGAAAGACCCACGGAGTTTTTGCTCCATATTTTGACAGTGGCTGGTTGCGTGTCATCCCAGTCCAAAAACAGCGCAGACGTGTTGTCCAAAGTAAGACCCGCTTTACTGGAAATAAATGATCCATTATAGCTAATGGAAAAGTGGTTACCTTTGTGAAAATTAACATATACCTTTGTTCAGTCATAGCCGTATATCCGAATTCGGGTCCGTTCCATTGTAATTCACGCAGATGTTTCCAGAATATGTAAACCCCTCTTATTTCGGGTTCGTAAAAATATCCATTCGGCAACAGCCTAGGCGGTGTTTTGGGAAAAGAGACCTCAGATGTACAATTTCTAATGAGTTCCCGCGAGAAAGGTGATTCGGGGGGATTGTAAAGCCGGCACGATAATCGCATTTCATAGGACTGATAGTTTAAAAGGGATTTTTGAAACAGCATACAATAGTAAAGAATTGTGTATTTATTTTTTGTTAATTCCAATGAGAATGGTCTAACCAAATCGATGTTGGGACTCCAAAGTTTTAGAGTACCATTGCAAATTAATTTGGGGTATTTGCGCTTGAAAAACATACATGTGCAATAATTTGGAGGATAGGGATATAATATCTGCAGGTTCGGTACAAGGATTTGATGGATTTTTAGGGCAAACTCTTGTTTCTGAATATCGCCAAGGTATTCCATTTCCATCCTGAAATATTGATCCATAACTTGCTGGTCCATCCGAATTTGATCGCACTGCATCCTCGAAGAGTTGTGTGGCATTTTAGTGCAGTTAGCTCTAGGCGTTCCATTCACTGATATAAAATAGGTCTCCTCCTGGAAACGCCCGTTTCCCACTCTAGTGAAGCTACACCACCCAAATATTTCTTCGGGATACAAACGACACTCAAAGTCCTGAATATTTAGAAGAGGCACAATATTGATTTTTGTATTCGTCCCGCCGCAAGTAAAATTTTCCGCGGATTCTAGGTCGGTCGTTATTTTAGCTCTAATAGTAATATTATTTACGATTTCTGTATCCAATTCCCTAAAGGGTTTCACTGACACTATTGGCACTTTTCTTAAATACATATCGGAAGTATAGCATTCACAGAATATGAAGTCACCCACCCGGGCAACGTCTCCTCGCTTGGACCACACCCGGCATGTTGTATCAGCGCTCCGGCAGAACATCACAAGCCACAGAAGACTTGCCCACCTACAGACCATCTTCATGATAGACAAGAATCGGTTCGTTTGCTCCAAACTGATCATAGACTATGAGCTTCAATGTTTGAGGAGTTATGTTTATATATTTGAGAGATAAGACTTATTTCAAAACGGCGCTAAGTATCTTATTGTTGAACTATTGAATTATAGATTGTGCGATAGATGCGGGACCAGCGGGATAGTCAGATAATTATGTGACAGTCTAGGAAGCGTCTAACGCCAGAGATGATACAAATAAATAGAAATAGGTATTACAAATTACAATACAATTCAGTTTTTATTTTAAAGAAATATATATACTGGTTGTGCCACAAATTGTGGCATGCCAGAGATATTTCACACATTAAACCATGAATACTCGTCCTCGGAGGCGAATTTGCATTGATTGTAATTGATTCATTGATCCTGCACCCCAATGTAGCATTTACCACCACCCTCTAGTCACTCAAGTCGCCTGAACTTGGTATTGCATTCGTTGACTGACTTCCGCTCTATTTGCTGGAACAAAGTAATAGTAAAATTTCATACTTCCGCAAAATCTTTGTTATCCATCCGCTTGCACGCAAGCCGGGCTCACCCGGCGGGAGAAGGGAGGCTGGTCGGCGGTGCCACGCCCACATTCTACTAGCATCGTCCCTCTCGCCCCCTCCGTCTTCTATCGCTTGTCGCATATTTTGTGCTCGCTCAATTATACGCTAAAATGAAGCTGCTTTTCAAGTCGCACCCGGAGGCCAACGTCAGTCCGGCTCAGAGCTCTGATGCTTACCGATCTGACCACACTGGCCGGAGATGATACCGCGGCAAATGTCCGGAGACTTTGCCTGCGTGCCTGCTATCCTTTCGAGCCGCAGTTCTTTGACAAATTCTTTGACCGCGCCCTAATCTCTGAGATGCACACCGCAGCTGGCTGCGTTTATCCGGCAAGAGTGAAGGACGCCTACCAAACCCTACAGCAATACGACAAACTGGATAAGGTTGCTATTGCAGCAGTCGCCACAGGATTCCCTACTGGTCAGTACGGCCTACAGACGCGCCTCCAGGAGATAAGCCACGCCATTCTGGCCGGAGCCACCGAGATCGACATTGTGATCAACCGGCAACTAGCTTTGGTGGGAGACTGGGAAGGAGTCTACAACGAGGTGGTGCTCATGCGTAGTGCCTGCGGCCAGCAGGCTCACCTCAAGACTATCTTGGCAATTGGTGAACTGGGCACAATGGAGAATGTAAGATAAATTTCTCCACCCTCTCGACTCAAAGAATTCATGTTTAAATATAATTTTTCAGGTCTATAAAGCGGCCATGGCTTGCATGTTGGCTGGAGCAGATTTCATTAAGACCTCCACAGGCAAGGAGACCGTTAATGCTACTCTCCCCGTCGGCCTGGTTATGATTTTTGCCATACAGGAGTTCAAACGCCGCACTTGCCAGATTGTTGGTCTCAAGCCAGCGGGAGGAGTGAGGACAGTTCGAGATGCCATTGCCTGGATGACGCTTGTCAATGAAACTCTTGGACCTCGCTGGTTGCAACCCGAACGATTCCGCTTTGGGGCTTCCGGACTGCTGGACGATATCGAACGCGTGGTGCGCGAGGGAGTGGCCAGAATGGAGGCCGAAGAGGCCCTCAAGAACCAGGTAGTTCCTGCCGAGGTTGCTGCTGCCGAAGGCTTCTGCAAGGAACTTAAGAAGAAGCAAAAGGAGGCAAAGTAACGAGCTCTTCTGTACCCACAACTCATTGAAATTGCATATAATTGTAGCATTTTTTTAAACCGACTTAACCTAGCAAAAAATAAACTAAGTGTGACGTTTTTTGGTCAAATCCTTGGTCTGCTCCTCGCCATAAATAAACTTGTGAGGTGTGGACCCGCACATAGTCGTCTTCTTGTAGGTGTTTAGCCACTGTAGATGGAGGTTTATGCGGTGGTGTCCATCGGGGTGTTGTTTTTTTGTATCTTCGGTTTATCAGCCATCATACACAAAAGCCCTAAAATCTCCGTCAACTGGCAGCCCAGAAGCCAAGATGGCTAAGAAAAAACGATATTCCCACATGAGGAAATAAACAAAATAAACTAGGCATGTGCAGTAGACAGTATATTTAACATATATAGGACTGGAAATGTGGTATATATTTGGTCGATCCTTATAGAATTTCAGTATCAGACCAATTTTTATATGTCTACTATACCAAAACTTTTTTTTGCCTTCAGAACACTCATCTTTTTGAGGGAAGTGTAGTGTAAGATCCTGTGTCTATTGAAGTGCCCGACGACTTTTCCTTATCAGGACATAAGCTGTCAGGTCCTCTTCTTTCCGAGGGCCTTTCCTTAACTGGGCACAAGCTGTATGCTCCCGCGGCAATTGATGTCAGATTCAAAGTCTTTTCCCTATCGGGGAATAAACTGTGGGATCTGACAGGGACTCTCATTTCGAAGCTATTTTCCTTAACTGGGCACAAGCTGTATGCTCCTGCGGCAATTGATGTCAGATTCAAAGTCTTTTCCCTATCGGGGAATAAACTGTGCGATCTGACAGGGACTCTCATTTCGAAGCTATTTTCCTTAACTGGGCCCAAGCTGTATGCTCCTGTGGCAATTGTTGATTCTGTCAGATTCAAAGTCTTTTCCCTATCGGGGAATAAACTGTGCGATCTGACAGGGCCTCTCATTTCGAAGCTATTTTCCTTAGCTGGGCCCAAGCTGTATGATCCTGAAGCCATCGAAGATTCTTCATTATCAGGAGGTGAACTGCACGATCCAGCAGAGCCCCTCGCAATAGGAAAATGTGTCATTTCGCAATAGTTTCCTTGAACTTCATTGAAACACTTTTCCTGAGTAGAGGAGCTGTATGATCCTTTGGACACCGATTCCTTTCCATTCTGAGCTTTTTTCGGCTTGGCATTGATTTGTGATTCACTTAGTTTCCGAGCTTGGGATGTTAAAAACTCGAAATTATTGATAGCTCGCGGGGGAAATTTCCTCGGAACTGCAGTTGAATCAGAAATGGCAGTAGCTGCGGATGAAGCAGGCGGAAGGTTCGTCAGTAGGCCTTCAGGAAGCTCCACTCTGATATTAGACATTTTTTTGTATTTTCGATAGCCCAAGAAGATACATATAAGAACGATTGAAACGACAATGGGCGCCAAAGAAAGAATTATTACAGCGTCCAAAGAGTGTAATTTCGAATGGGTCCACCTAGGTCCATTCCATTGCATCCCGCCGCTGACCTGATCCTTGTACCTGGCTGCCACTGCCACATTGGACGAGGCCATTGACGTCGGAAACGAAAATTGAAGCTGGGAAGAGTTCACTGATTCCGTTTTAATGCTTTCCTTTTCGTCACAGATCTGGTAAGTGTTGGTAGAGGCGGAACACCAGTAGACAGTATAACCTTCTAGATTATTTTCGTCGCTAGGAGGCTTCCAGCTCAAAGTGGTATCCTTGTCATTATAAAGAAGGGACCTCGGCAGTCGTGTATGGGAACTGGCAAAGATCGGCAGCTTTAGTTCTGTGAAGTTCTGCGAAAGACCCACGGAGTTTTTGCTCCATATTTTGACAGTGGCTGGTTGCGTGTCATCCCAGTCCAAAAACACCGCAGACGTGTTGTCCAAAGTAAGACCCGCTTTACTGGAAATAAATGATCCATTATAGCTAATGGAAAAGTGGTTACCTTTGTAAAAGTGAACATATACCTTTGTTCAGTATACCTCATAGCCGTATATCCGAATTCGGGTCCGTTCCATTGTAATTCATGCAGATGTTTCCAGAATATGTAAACCCTTCTTATTTCGGGTTCGTAAAAATATCCATTCGGCAACAGCCTAGGCGGTGTTTTGGGAAAAGAGGCCTCAGATGTACAATTTCTAATGAGTTCCCGCGAGAAAGGTGATTCGGGGGGATTGTAAAGCCGGCACGATAATCGCATTTCATAGGACTGATAGTTTAAAAGGGATTTTTGAAGCTGAATACAATAGTAAAGAAATATGTATTTCTTTATTTTATATTCCAATAAGAATGGTTTAACCCAATCGATGTTGGGACTCCAAAGTTTCAGAGTACCATTGCAAATTAACTCAGGGTAATTGCGCGTTAAAAACATACATGTGCAATAATTTGGAGACAAGGGTTCTAATATCTGCACGTTCGGTACAAGGATTTGATGGATTTTTAGGGCAAACTCTTGTTTCTGAATATCGCCAAGGTATTCCATTTCCATCCTGAAATATTGATCCATAACTTGCTGGTCCATCCGAATTTGATCGCACTGCATCCTCGAAGAGTCGAATGGCATTTTAGTGCAGTTAGCTCTAGGCGTTCCATTCGCTGATATAAAATAGGTCTCCTCCTGGAAACGCCCGTTTCCCACTCCAGTGAAGCTACACCACCCAAATATTTCTTCGGGATACAAACGACACTCAAAGTCCTGAATATTTAGAAGAGGCACAATATTGATTTTTGTATTCGTCCCGCCGCAAGTAAAATTTTCCGCGGATTCTAGGTCGGCCGTTATTTTAGCCCTAATAGTAATATTATTTACGATTTTTGTATCCATTTCCCTAAAGGGTTTCACTGACACTATTGACACTTTTTTAAAATACGTATCGGAAGGATAGCATTCACAGAATATGAAGTCACCCACCCGGGCAACGTCTCCTCGCTCGGACCACACCCGGCATGTTGTATCAGCGCTCCGGCAGAACATCACAAGCCACAGAATACTTGCCCACCTACAGACCATCTTCATGATAGACAAGAATCGGTCCGTTTGCTCCAAACTGATCATAGACTATGAGCTTCAATGTTTGAAGAATAATGCTTATATTTTGGAAAGCTAAGACTTATTTGGAGACGGCGCTAAGTAGCTTATTGTTGAACTATTGAATTCTAGATTGTGCGAGAGATGCGGGACCAGCGAGATAGTCAGATTATTATGTCACAGTCTATCAAGCGTCTAACGCCAGAGATGATACAAATAAATAGAAATAGCCATTACAAATTACAATACAATTCAGTTTTTATTTTAAAGAAATATATATACTGGTTGTGCCACAAATTGTGGCATGCCAGAGATATTTCACACATTAAACCACAAATACTCGTCCTCGGAGGCGAACTTGCATTGATTTCCACCCAGCACCCCAATGTGGCATTTGGCACTTTGCCACCACCCTCTAGTCTCCCTCTACACCACACCAACTTGCTTTCGGCGCCTCAAAGACACAATCAAGTCGCCTGAACTTGGTATTGCATTCGTTGACTGACTTCCGCTCTATTTGCTGCGACAAAGTAATAGTAAAATTTCATACTTCCGCAAAATCTTTGTTATCCATCCGCTTGCACGCAAGCCGGGCTCACCCGGCGGGAGAAGGGAGGCTAGTCGGTGGTTCCACGCCCACATTCTACTAGCATCGTCCCTCTCGCCCCCTCCGGCTTCTGTCGCTTGTCGCATATTTTGTGCTCGCTCAATTATACGCTAAAATGAAGCTGCTTTTCAAGTCGCGCCCGGAGGCCAACGTCAGTCCGGCCCAGAGCCAGCAATCCCGGCAGCCACCTCCCTAGTTTTCGACCTCCCGAGCTTCCGAGCTGCCGAGCTCCTTCGTCCCGAATATCCCTCCAGATATCCAACAGTCGCATTCCAGTCGCAGCCCTCACCCAAGCGATTTAACTGTTTGGTTTTGTTGGCATTTCATTTAAGCACAGCAGCATATTTTGCTGCCATTGTTTGCAATGCGTCCGCATCCGCATTCGCATTTGGTCCTGCCAGTTTTCCCATTTTCCCAGCGGTGCAGGATCGCCGTGGAGCAGGGCAGGAGCAGCTTATTTGGTGTAGATATCTCGGCATGTAAATCAGTTATTGATAGCCAGAACGATTTGTCTTTTCGTTGACTTCTAGATGATCGATCTTAAAATGGATGGAAAAGGTTAATGCTTTTATAGTTTAGTTCTCTGAAATGCTTTGCAAGAAAGTTTCCTATCCTACATCTCATTATGAAAGCAGCTTAGTGGCAAGTTGCAACTGCAAGTGCAACATCAAAGAAATGTGTCAGTCGGGACGCATGGGGTGTCCATGAAAAAGCGCCAGCGAAAGTGTACCAAAAAAATGCAGTAAATCACCATATGATGTACACACGGTGTGTTCTCCGATGCAGAATGACAAAAACAGCGAAGGCAGACCCTTGACACCTGGACAGGTGTGGCGTGGGGCAACTTCGGGGGCAACTGACATTGAGTGTAATATGCCAAACACAAGCCAAAGCCCCACCGAAAAAAAAAACAAAACAGAAAACTGCTACTACGTCGACCGCGTGAATCGTTGCTTATGCGCACAAGTGACTCTGGCAAGGTGTTTCTGGACGAGAGCAAAAACTTTAACTACTTTTTCAATTGTTTGTAAAATGCAAATGTGTCACCAACTACCAGCTACCCACTGCCAGCTCCTGCTCCTCTCCAAGCATGGTGGATTATACACGTTATTCATACAATATTCGTTGATTTTTTTGTCAACTGGCTGCTTTCTAGGACAGTGCTTTTTGTAATTCTTGTATTTAGCAGAACGATAAGAGCGAGTCATACATGTTTTTTTTCCATTCCTGATTAGAAAAGGTCACAAAAAATGAATAGAAATGTTTTTAATTCATTGGCACAGCTTTAAAGTAATTAAAAAATGTTATAATAAATAAAATATAAAAGTAGTCTAGTTAGTGAAAGGACCTTGTAGCTAAAAATTAGAATAGTAAGCTCTTAAAAGTCTGTCTAATGACCAAGCCTCTAAAAAGTATCGGCACATAATTAAGATCAAACCCAGACATGATGGCTCATCATTGAAGCCATTTTGTTCGACGGGAAACATCAATCAGGCGCGAGGCACTGAACCAAGTAGGCAGCTATTTGGAGGCACAAGGATATACATATTGATACCCACATTTGACTAGTTTCGTTCGGCGGGGCAATTATGGCAGCTTTGATCATCAATCAAGGAGCACAGAAGCAGACGCCAACCGGTTGACCCCACAGAACCAGCGGCCTCGGTCTCCAACTAATAAACCAAAGGCTCAAGGACTTTAAGGATCCCTCAGCTCTTTGGCAATCAAGCGCCTCTAGGAGTCGCAGCAGCCTCCCTCTGCCCCGCTCTGTGTGGGCGAGTGTGTGCAAATTTTTGACAGCTGCCAAACAAACGTTGCACATTAACAGCAATTGCTTTTAAATTGATTGATTTGCTCAGGCAAGGCGATAAGCTCCAGTATCTGAGAGTGTGCCGGTTGGGTGTGGGGGTGTGTGTGCTTATGCAAACACAAGCAGAACGTGCAGGCTGGCACTGCACGTCCTGGCACTGACAGAACCACCACCTGATTGCATCCCAGCAACCACCGGAGCCGCCAAACTGCACCACCACCCATGGCTGCGCTTCACTCAAGCAGCCGCCTAGTCCTGCTTTTGGCAAACAAAATATGATTGCCCGCAATTAGGTGCCACGATTTTGGCAAGCTTTCGAAACCAGTCCACCCAGCCAGCCATCCAGCCAGCCAGCCCGCCATCCGTCCATCCAGTCAGCCACACATTGGCTCCGCTAGCCAGTCTATTAAATAAGAAATTTTCAAAAATTGCCCCGCAACACGCCAAAAACTAATTACCCGCGCTGCCCACACGGTTGCACTTTCATCTGCAGCCGAATGCTAATAAGGATTGGTGGGAGGTTCGATGTGGATGTGGTTCTTTGTTTGAGTTTCATCGAAAGTCAAAAAAAGCTGTGCCACAAAAACAAAGCCAAATTGATGCGATAGCCCCCAATAGACCTAATAATAAAACAATGACCAAACCCAGCAACAATGTATCTTGATTGGCAACGTAATTAAGTGTCTCCATCAAAGGTGAGTCTAAAAATAACGGAAAACTTTTATTAAACCAATATTTTGTGGTTTATTTTTCCAAATTAGCCTTCCACATCAATAAAATTCGTATTAAGGATTAGCATGTGAGCCCTTCGAGTGGCTTACTGGAAACTTAAAACGTTGCGAGCCGTCCCACCTTTTTTTTGGATGCGGAGCTCACTTTTAATCAACAATCTGTTGATGCAGCATCGGCAGTGCCACTCGTTTTGGTCAGAGGCGAACGCCTACCTTTGCCACGCCCACAAGGGGCAGTGCCCAATGCAGCAGGGCATCTGAAATTGGCAATTTTGCCGTATCGACAGTTTTGTGAGCAATCAATTTCGATGCAAATGCACTTGTACTTGACTGCTCACTGAATGAGGCGAGACTCTGTGGTCGTGGTGCAACGTGGCGTATGAGTGATGTTGAATGCACCGAAGCTGCAACGCCGGGGCGGGATAAAAGGGCGGCTGCATACATCATCGATGCTCAAAACAATGAAAGGATCCTGCATTCAGCCATCATTACCATAGGCCTATTAGAAAAGGGTTACAGGACCCAGAAAGTACATACTGCATGTTCCCTACAAATATTTATACAAAATTGAAGCCTATTTAAAAACACTAAATAATATATATTTAAGCCTTTTATGAAAGGAAAGCTTAACAAAAACCGTATCATTAATTTGAGTCATATTTATTTTTAATTGTGCATTGGTTTTCCGGCAAAAAAAAAAACGCCAGTTTTCTGCTGCGTTCGTGTGAATTGCATCAAACTTATGCGCCGGTATTTCCACTCCCCACCATGCCTGGCATTTAAATCGTGCTTTAACTTAATTTTTATTGTTGTCGTGATTTTCCCGGTCTCGTTCTGGTCATCATCTCTGCCAGCAGCCGCCAGCCTCATCGTCAGCCTCATCATCCCTGGTATGTGTGGATTGCATTTTTATTTTAATTAAAAAGTCGCCATCACAAAGCGAATCGGTCGAGTCCATTTCTGCATCGATTCAAGTGGCCATCGTCTGATGCCAAATGTATTTACGGCTTCATTTTGTTTGCTTGTTTATTTCCCCCAGTACTTTTGAGATACTCTCCAGTGCGTTAGTCAATCGTCACGGAAAATTGCGGAAAATGTTCTTGTTTTTTTTTTTAAATGGCTTAATACTGGAGTGTGTGGAGTATTTTGAAATAAAATTAATCATAAATATTATATTGTTATACTATTATTAATATGTACAATCAATAAAGACATATTTTTACTAATTTGAGTTGAGATTTGAATTTGAAAGAGATTAGAAACCATATTCTAAAGGTTTTAATTTGATTTTAATGATTTTCATCATTAAAAGTCAGAAGCAACCACAATTTTACACTAGGGATAAAATTTAAGTTTC